GCCGGACAATGGCAGCTCTCAGCCTCTGGCCTCCGCCTTTCCGCCCTTCGGCCTCTGCCTAAGCCCCCCCCCCCCACCCCGGGCCCTGGGGACAGAGGGGGATTGTCCCGGATGGGGGCCCCACGCTCCCCTCCCCGAGCCTGCCCTCAGGCCCAGGGCTGGGCTGCTGACATTGAGGCCGCCGGCAAGGCTGCAGGCCCCACCTCCAGGCTAGATCCCCGGCCCCACTCCTCCCACCTCTGCCCTAGCTGCCTCGTTCACCAGCATCTCTGCCAGGACTCCCAGCCTTTTAAGGAGCCTCCCTCCTCCCCCTGCCCCTCTGCAGCCTCCTTTGGGCAGCCAGGGGGAGACTCTTAAACGGAAGTCCGATCACCCCCACCGCTTAGACTCTTCCCCTCCTCCCATCCCATTGAGGGTCAAGCCTGGACTCCTGCTGTGGTCTCTGAGACCTGGGTGCGCTGGCCCCTGCTCCCCTCTGTCTAGATCTGTCCCCTCCCACATAGGACTCCAGCCACCCTCACCTCCATGCTGTTCCTCAAACATGCCTAGCTTATTCCTGCCTCAGGGCCTTTGCACTTGCTGTTCCTTCTGTTTGAAATACTGTATCCCAGAAAGTCGCATTTCTGGCTCCTAATTCAAACTGAAAAACATTTTTGTTCAGGCCAAATAAAACAAGCCCAAGGGCCAGTTTTGACCCATTTTGCCACTTCTGATCTACAGCTTCCAAAACCCACATGTTTTCTTTTTCCTCCAAAGCATCTCCTCGTTCAGGATTGGCAGAGGTGTTCTTTCTGCGTGGTTTGGCCCCGTTTTTTATCCATGGCTTTAGGACTTGGTCGCAGAGTGCACCCTGAGGAAGGATGTGGCACCATGGGAATATTTTCACCACTTTCCTGCCTCATGTCTCTTTCTTTAACTCCATCCTTCCCAGAGGTGCTCTGAGGGACTCTTCTGGAATACTAATCTGATCCATTATCACCCCTGTCCCATACCTGCAGTTGGTCCCTATGTTCCTTAGCCTGGCTTTCCAGGCCCTTCCCAGCTTCAAACCTCCCTACTTTTGTTCACGCATTTCTCTCCACTTGGAATGCCTTTTCCCTCTTTTTGAGCCTGACAAACACCTATTCAGTCTTCAAAACCCGGCTCAGATGTCCCCTTGCCTGGGGTACCTTCTCTGGCTGAATTCACGCATCCCTCCTAGGCCTGCGGAGTCTATGCATACGCTCTTGCAGCGCTTATCACGGTACACAGGGAGAGTTCTCCTCCTGGGCTGTGACCTTGTCAACGTCAGGGACCTCGTCCCATCCGTCCTCGCAACCTGCGTGTCCAGCCCAGGTCCGTGGACACGTCAGGCTCTCAGCAAATGTTGGATCTTTCCGCTGGCCCCTGTTAGTTCTCTAATTCAAACTCTGGTGACCAGGGTGTAGATCAGAACACAAAACCGTTGAGACCGTTGTTCCCCCTCCGTGCAGGCACACAGCAGGTGCTCGGTAAGCGCTTGCTGAACGAATGCAGGAGTGAGTGCGTGGGTGGGGGATACAGGGCTTGTCCCCTGTGCATTCACAGTAACAGTGCCCGGCTGACAGCTGCTCCGGTGGAGTTCAGCTGGTGGTGGCTCAGTGAGGATCTGGAGGACCATGTGGCCAGATGCTCGGTCCACGGAACGTTGTCACCTGATGAGGAAGAACTGGAAGACTCTGGAAGGAGGCCTTGGAAAAGCGCCCGAATCCCGAGCCGGGGAGGCCTCTCCTGCCCCTGCTCCGCCGGCAGGTGGCGGAGGGCAAGGCCTGGCCCCACGGGAGGGAGAGCCCACGGTGGGCAGCTCCCCGGGCCAGGCGCCGAGCCTGTTCAGGAAAGAGGACAGGACAGTGGGCGGAGGGCTTGCCTCTGCCTCACAGGTCACAGTTTTCTGGAAAGATGGCCGGGCCCTTGCGTGGACGCGCCCGTGCCCATGCCTTCTGCGTGCTGCTTCTCACAAGAGAGGGACGCGTGGTCCGCCTGGTGGCAGGAGTCACGAGGCCCCTGGGGCTCTTCCCCGCGGGCGCCAGAGCCAGGTGGCTGCCTGGACGGCGCCGTTTCACCTGCGGGCCAGGCCTCCTCACTGGCGGGTCCTGTATCCTTTTCCTCCCGGCTGGGAGAGGTTTGGGGCTTTTTCTTACCAGGCTTTATTTGTCACAGAATAATTATTTTTTTTTATTAACCAAATACACAAATGTCCCACTCCTGGGTCTGATGAGTGAAGCTGATCAGCTAGACTCTGAGTTGGCCTAACAAGAACCCAAAGCAAAGGGCTTGGCCTTTTTATGAGCTAGTATTCCCATGGCGACCAAAAGGACCATTTCCATCGGGCTTCTGAAGATGCTGAAGGACGCTGACGGGCCTGAATCACAAGCCCTCCATACATGGCAGCTGCTGTCATCATCACCGTGACCATCATGGCCTTCTGGGGAAGCTGTGAACACCAGAGCAAGAACCCCCAATCCGGACCCAGACAATGGCGGCCCAGAGGCTGTTTCCCGAGCCTTTGCGGTGAGCACGTTCTTTCACACGCTTCCGTGCATGATCTCATTTAATCTCCACCCCGACCCTGGGGGGGGGCAGTGTTACTGTTAGCCCTGCCCCCCCACTTTGCAGATGAGGATCAGAGAGGTGCAGTAACTTGGGCCGCGGCCGTTAAGTGTGGGACGGAGCGAGCTCCTGCTGGTTTAGCGCTGGGGTGGTCTTGCTGCCTTGCATGTTGAAGGACCTCAATCTGAATCCTGAGAGCAGCATCAGTTTTATTAATCCGTGGCTTTACACTGTTGATCTTCACATGCTGCACACCTTCCGGAAGGAAAACTCCGGATACGGTTAAGTGGCTCTTCCTAGGGCAGTTAGAGGCATTTGGCTGCATCTGAATTTGCTTTCCTGTGTTCTGGAAATCGCACGTGTATGTCCTCTCGTGGTGTGTCCTTCAGAGCAGCCACTGTCTCTGATCCCTCTGAGCTTGGCACAAGGAGGTGCTCAGTATCCTCATAGAGAGGACCACGGAACACACTTCCGGTGAACTAGAACGCTCTCTCCCCTCACCCGCCGACCTTCCTCGTTGATGTCGGATGCTTTCTTCTCGGACACACACCAGGTTTCACCCTGTTGAACGCGCCCTGCTGTGCCGCCTGCTCGCTGGGAGCTGGGCCACAGCGGCACCCGGCTGTTCCCTCTCTCTCTTTCTCCACGTGGTGTCGGGCGGTCCTGGGGCCCATGCACAGCACCAGTTTCAAAAGCCCAGTAGATTTTGGAGTTTGATTTGAGTCTCCATGATAATCAGCAAGTAAATCCAGAGTGGATGCCAGAAGACGTTGTCCCACAGCCACGGGCCTTCCTGGGAACTGGCTCCAGGGGTGGGAGGGGTGTGTGCAGAGATTCAAGACTGTAGCAGGAGCCCCCTGAGCTGAGGTGAGCAAAACTGGGGAATTCATCTGATGACTATGGGCATGTGTGATAAACTCCGAGAGCAGGAACACAGTCTGTAAACCTGGAACGGCAAAGTAGAATACCTTCAAGACTCTCTCCATCTTTGAGCTCTGAATTTCCTTCCTCCCCAGCAGACCAGCTCTCTCTGCTACTCTGGGTACAAGGTGGCAGAAACGGCTGCCTCAGAGCTCCCAAGTCGCTGCAGAGGCCAGCTTTCCTTCTCAGTCCCAGCCAGACGCCCAGGACAGGGCTTTGACTGGCTGGACAGAGTCAGGTGGTCAGACCTGGTCCCAGGTGACTGGAGCATTTTGAACAAACAAGGCAGCTGGAGCCCACAAGGGTAAATCATGGAGATGCTTAAGGGCATCATTGTTTTGGCAGTTAATGGTTGACCCCCCCAAAAGGGGGTCCACTGTGGCTTCTCCCCTGCGCATCCCAGGAGCCCCTATTGACCACGGAGCCGGGTGCCTCTTTCGATTCCTGATCAGGGGAGGCGCTCGCCCTCCCTGAGTATAGACTCACTCTGACGGTGCCCAGGCCAGCATCTAGACAGGCACCAGAGACACACCTGTGCATCATCCTTGAGAACAAGAAGCGGGGCTGGCGGTCAAGTTTGGATTGTCTGAAGATGGTCTGGTTTTCCGTGACTCTAGGAAGAGACACGGGCGTTTGGTAATGGGGACTGCATGCGAGGGGCCGGAGGGCACGTGCACAGCGGACAGGGCCCCCAGCCGGCCGCGCTGCCCGAGGAGGCCACCTGGGGCGGGCCGGGCCCACGCGCTTGCTCTGGCTCAGCTCCTACTTCTGAGAGGCCACAGCCCAGTGCTTCCCATGTTCCTGGTTGCTATGAGGGTTCCATAAGTTTATTCTGCATTATTTTATTTAAAAGTTTTTGTAGAAATTTAGAAATATATTTTATTTATGCATTTTAGTAGAAATTTAGAAATGATTCTAGAAATCCAGCAAAGGGCAAAAAAGAAAACAAGAATCACTTACAAATTAATCACTGTTTATCTTAAGGTATAGCCTTCCAATGTTTTAGGATTTTTTTAAATGAACAGATTTGGGGGGCGGCCAAAATAGGACCATGCTGAATAAACTCTTTGGCAACCTGCTTTTCTCGCTCCACAAAAGGAGGTGCTTTCTCCCGTGTTCTTACATGATCTTTGATAACCTCTCTGCCAGGTGGGGTGGAGGACGGAGGAAAGTACCAGCTGCCTTGGTTGGCTCCCAGCGGGGCCCGGAGAGCGGCAGCGCCTCTGTCCGTTCTCTTTTCCTTCTGATAGAATGATGGAACGTCCCCCTCACGTTGCCCTCATGCCCACCCTCAGCCCCTCCAAGGCCAGCAGGCCCCCCTCCTGCATGTCCCCAGCACCCCGCGGGCCAGCGCCACGCTGCACGGCCTCGCTGCGGTCACCCTGGCTGGTGGCTCCACGGGGCTCCGACACAGCACCGAAGCTGGCGGGCCGCCTGCACCCTGCTGCCCCCTGCCGGGGCTGCCATCAGCCACCAGCCGGCCCACCGTCCCTCCTCCCTCTGCTCTGCAGGCCGTCACCCGGGACTCCCAGAGCGAGCTGCCCTGGAGCTGACTCACCGCACAACATCCTCAGGTAACGTGGACAACCAAAACGGTCACAACCGTTGAGGGCGTTCTTGTTCTAAACGGATCGGGGAAGCGCTCTGACAGCCACGAACGCCCATTTGTGCCATGATTCTACAAGCCAGACAGGATCACCCCCATTTTACACATGGAGAAACTGAGGCTGGAGCACTCAGAAGTGGTACTCAGGGTCACTCAGCTGGGAAAGGGCAGCCTGGAGACCTGAACCCAGGGCTGTCTGAGTCCAGTGCCGCACGCCGCCCCCGACCCCACGCTGCCTCTGAACTGCAGAGGAGAGAAGGGCGCAGAGTGTGGATAGGACATCTGGGGTGAGCGAGGGTCGGAGAGGCCATCTGAGCCAGTGGTCCCTCCCCACCGCAGGGCTGGGCCAGGCTCCCGACAGAAGAATCTCCTTCTGGGGAATTTGTTAAAAGTATAGATTCCGGGCTCATCTCCTAGAGATTCTGATGTAGCCCATCCAGGGTGGGACCCGGCAATCTGCGTCTTCACACAGCTTCCCAATGACCTGGAAACATGGCCAGGCTTGGGAACTGCTGATGACGTAGCAACATGTCCGCACCATTTGCCAGGCACAGGGTGCCTCGCTGAATAAGAGAAGAACCACCACCTGATGAGGACGTACTATTGTCATCCTCAGTTTAAAAGATAGGGAGAGGGACGCCCAGAGAGGTTCAGAAGTTTACTCAGAGTCATACAGCTCAAAGATGGTAAAGAGGACTTTGATCATGATCGGAGTCTGAACTCATATACCACCTTCACCCACCACGTGCTGCCAGGACACCTCCCTACTCAGCCCATGTCAAGTCCATTGCTTACTCCGGCCGTGGCTCTCATGGCCTCAGAGAAAATCAAATCGCATCCTGGGAGGCAAATGTGAGGAGCACTCAGGATTTCAGTCTGGCAGTTTGGGCCTCTGGGGCTTCTCTCTGAGCGGGACACGTCACGGAGGGCACACCACACAGGCGACCGCTGTTGAAGCATGTGCAGGAGGTGTCAACAGACCCCATGCTCGCACGCTGTCTTTGGAAACATGAGGCTCTGTCCTTCCTCCGGGAGCAGGGCTGGCGGGCAAGGAGGGCTGGCGGGAGAGCCTGCTCAGCGCTAGTTGTTTGTGGGTTATTTTATTTTCGTTATTTTGGGGCAAATCCAGCATCATGCCACCCTCCTGTGCCTGTCACCCCGGCCCTCTCTTCTCCTAGGGTGACCTTGAGCCGCAAAGCTGCTGTCCACGTGGACCGGGGCCGACAGCACGCGTCCATCCGCCAGGACCCCTGCCTCCAAACTGCGAGACATGGCGACCAACGGCAGCAAGGTGGCCGATGGGCAGATCTCCACGGAGGTCAGCGAGGCCCCGGTGGCCAACGACAAGCCCAAAACCCTGGTGGTCAAGGTGCAGAAGAAGGCGACGGACCTCCCGGACCGGGACACGTGGAAGGGCCGCTTCGACTTCCTCATGTCCTGCGTGGGCTACGCCATCGGCCTGGGCAACGTCTGGAGGTTCCCCTACCTCTGCGGCAAGAACGGTGGAGGTAGGTGCCCACCGCTGGCCTCCCGGCTGGGCCACCCCACAGACGCATCCTGATTGGGCATTTTCTGGGGAGACCTTAGGGGAAGGGATCCCCTGAAGACTCCAAAGTAAGAACCAGGCCCCGTGTCCTTTTTCTCATCCTTTTACCAAAGGGCCGTGGTCCTGTGTCCATGAAACCTGGACGTTCACGTCTTCGGTTTGCAAAGTGTGAGGATGTGGTTTGAGCACAGGCTGTCCTGGCCACGGCCTGGCTGTGCCGCTGCTTGGGGCAGAGTGTGTGGAGATCGTGGCGGGGACCCCAGAACGCCCCACCTCAATGCTCCCTCTGGCCGGGGTTCTCCAGAGCCCTGGGGCCACGAGTATCTCTTCTCCACCCCGCAGGCGCCTTCCTCATCCCCTACTTCCTCACGCTCATCTTTGCGGGGGTCCCGCTCTTCCTGCTGGAGTGCTCCCTGGGCCAGTACACGTCCATCGGGGGCCTGGGGGTGTGGAAGCTGGCCCCCATGTTCAAGGGTAAGTCTGCAGGGTGGGCCTCGGGGCGTGGTGGTGCTCTTGCTCACAGGATGGTGGTGAAGCCGGGGCCTTCCCGACACCCCCGGCCCCGCTGGTCTGCATCTGAGCAGAGGGGAGCCCCTGCGAGGGGCCAGGTGGTGGATGACGACGCCCGTCGGAGCCCAGGGTGTGGAGTTGGAGAGGAGGCCCCGTCCAGAGGCCCTGCCCTCTGAGCTCTCCCTGGCCAGGGCAGGGTGCCGCTCTCTCTGCTGCCCGCTCAGTGCCTCGCAGACACTCGGGGGGACGCGAGGGGAGTCACTCTTGCCTGCGCCACCTGCCGCCAGCCCGTGCGGCCCCAGACAGGTCGGGCACCCTCCCTTGCCCCCATGTGTGTGACCTCAGCCAAGCCCCCGCCCCTCTCCATGGTCCGGAGATTGTAGACGTCGTGGAAAATGATAGCGACGACCTGGACGGGACCATTATTATTATCGCTCTATTAAGTGAATGTCGTGCTGGCGCGTTGACCCCCAGGTGTGGGCCTGGCCGCCGCCGTGCTGTCCTTCTGGCTGAATATCTACTACATTGTCATCATCTCCTGGGCCATCTACTACCTGTACAACTCCTTCACCACGGTGAGTGCCCCCATGGCCCGCCCCGCAGGGAGCCGGCCCCGGAGCCCAGCCTCCGTCAGCAGGGACTGCCCTTCTGCCGCCAGGGCAGATCCTCTGGGCAGGGGTCGAGGGGCGAGGCTTGTCTCCAGCCGCCCTGATCTCCCACAAGTCTAGCACTGCGAACTGAGCACTGTGATCTGAGCACCCACTAGGGCCAGGTGCTGAGCCAGGCACTTCGTGTGGGCTAACAACTACTCCTCCTGCCACCCCTCCTAGGTGGGCATCGTTGGCTCATTTCGTGTGGTCCCAGACGGCCTGGGTTCAAATCCCGACCCTAGTATATACCAGCTGTGCAACTTCAGGAAAGAGACTTAACCTCTCTGAGCCACATTGCCCTCATTTATAAAATGGGGGTAAAAGTGAAACTTGCCTCCCAGGGATGTTGTGAGGATTGAGGAGTAAATATGTGTAAAGCCCTTAGAACTGTCCTTGGCCAAGAGCAAGCCCTGTGAGTGTTCACTGCTGACGTCAGTGTGCAGAGCGTCAAATGGGTGAGATCTCTTAGCCAAGGTCACGTAGCTGGGAAGTGGCTCCAGGGTGGACACACGAGACCTTACGGTACGACTTGGAAAGCTAGTTTTCAGAGTAAAAAGGCCAGGGTTCAAATTTCAGCTCTGACACTTAAGAGCTGTGTGATCTTGAGCAAGCTGCTGCCCCTCTCTGATCTGTAAAATGGAGATCACAACACGTCCCATATCCGGGAGCTGTTGGAACAGGGAGTCTAGACAACAGCTGTGAGGAGGCTGGGGGACGTGAGGGTGGACAAGGTGGGCTGGGGTCGCTGTTGCCAGGACCTGGGGCCTCAGTGGGGTTTGTCTGTGCCACTGTGTCCTTACAGACGCTGCCGTGGAAGCAGTGTGACAACCCCTGGAACACTGACCGCTGCTTCTCCAACTACAGCATCGCCAACACCACCAACATGACCAGCGCCGTGGTGGAGTTCTGGGAGTGAGTGCGGGGTGGCCCTCGGGGGCAGCGTCAGCCTCGAGGGCGGTGGAAGAGTTGGGGGAGGACTGTTTGTGGAGACGAGGGCGGGGCTGAGGACGCCACCAGGAGGGTGAGGCCCTGTCCTCCCCTGGGGGGAGCTGGACTGTGGACAGCTGCTGGGCACGAGCTCTGGGCGTTGGTAGAGACCCAGCTCCAGATGAAGCCACGGTCCAGTGGGGAGAATACTCCCCACCCCCCACCTCCCTCTCCCGCCACCCCTGGGATCCCGCCGGTGGTCAGCCCAGCTCGAAGCTGGAGGGCGAGGGATCCAGGACGTGGTGGCCATCAGCCTCCTGGGCAGGGAGCGGGTGGAGGAGGGGGGAGGCTGAGCCAGCGAGGGGACAACCAGTACAGGCCGAGAGGAGCCGCCAGGAGAGGCCGACAAAGTCCCGATTTGTCCTGAAGACCAGTCCAGTCTCCTTAGAATCCGGAGTCACTCAGAATAAAGACACACACATCCCCCAGTCCTTAGTGAAGGCCGTGCTGACTGTACCTTCAGGGGAGCGCGTCACAGAAGATGTGTGTTGGGACACTGATTTTACAAAGGGAGCTCCCGGGACCCAGGTCCCTTTGACATGCAGGAGGCAGCTGTGTTCGGAAGCGCGAAAGGGTCCGGGAGCAACCTGAGGGTCCCGGTGCCCCTTGGCTAAGCTGCCAGGAGGAGCTGTCCTCGGGAGGCGTCAGAACACGTGAAGCCAATCGCTTTGTGCTGAAATGTCCTTGGCTGGGCTGTCTCCTTACAGATGAAAATCAGATTCTGCTCCAGCTGGTTCTGCCTTCCAGCATCTTCCACACGCAACCCTCTTGCACAGGTTCAGGCTTTTCATTCAGCCATTTGTTCAACAAACATTTCTTGAGCACCTACTGTGTGCCAGTCTGCTTAGAGACAGGGATGAGCAAAGTGGCAGTGACACACCAGATGACCAGTGCTCAGAGAGGGGACACACGGGAGGTGGTGGGCCCAGGTGAGGCCTGCATCTGAGGATGAAAACCAACGCAGGGAAGACAGGTGTTGGCGGAAGGAAGAGCATTGTGAAGGCTGGGAGCAGGCCGGTGAGGGCACGCGGGGGTCCAGACTGATGAGAGGGGGCCGTGCTGAGAGCTGGGCTGGAGAGGGAGGCAGGGCCGGCTTCTGCAGGCCTTGTGAGGTCCCCTTCCTGCTGAGAACCACAGGGAGCCATTTGCTGCCGGATCCGAGCAGGAGACGGACATGAGCAGACTTGCAATTTAGAAGGAGCCCTGGGGCTGGAGTGGGGACAGAGCAACACGAAGGAAGGGGTCTGTAGGAGGGCTGCAGCCATCCAGGGGAGCAGTGATGGCAGCAGGACCTGGCACTGCAGGTCCCTTGAGCAGACAGCACTATCTACCGATTAGTATGCTGGGCCCCTCCGTCCCCACCCCGCTCTTGCATCTCGGTGATCACAGCTGTCAGCACAATCACGGTGGAGGGTCCACGCCCTGGGCACCCCCGGGTCACTCCAGCTCCCGCCAGCCCCCGTGACTGTCTCCTCTCTCCACTGTCCCACCAGGCGCAACATGCATCAGATGACAGACGGGCTGGATAAGCCAGGGCAGATCCGCTGGCCTCTGGCCATCACCCTGGCCATCGCCTGGATCCTTGTGTATTTCTGTATCTGGAAGGGTGTTGGCTGGACTGGAAAGGTAAGGATGTGCACAGTGGGGGTGGGAGGGTCTCTGTCCTGGCAAGGAGTCTGCATCTCTCAAGAGCCCTGTCCAGCCTTGGTTGAGCAGCTCCCTTCATCTCTCTGTGTCTCCGTTTCCTTTCCTGTAAAATGGGAATAATAACATCACTCTGCTTCTGGGCAGCTGTGAGGATTAAAGAAAATAATGCAAGTCAGGCCCTTAGCGCAGCACCAGGCTCACGGCAAGTCCCTTGAGAGGCCCCTGGTCCTGAGGGAGCCATCGCAAAACAGAGGCAGTTGTTGCTCATGGACCATTGACCAAACTGTGCTGTGCCAAGCCTTGTTCTCGGTGTGGGCAGTCCAGACCTGGACACTGGCTTCACATCCCAGCCTTTGAGGAGCGAGAGAGACGGCCTGATTAATGCTTAAATACTCAGGCCCTGTATGCAAACCGTCCTGAGTCCACATCCCAGCTCGACCATTTACTTAGCTGTGTGACCTCGGGCAAGTCACTTCACCTCTCTGAAACTCGATTTCCTCCTCTGTAAGATGTGGCTAATACCTGTGCTTATCCCTTGGTTTCTCGTGCCAATCAGATGAGACGGTGATTTTGTACAGAACTGGGCAGCTAGCAAGGGGAGTTGTGTTTTTGTTTTTGTTATGGGCAAGGGCAGAGCCACGCCCAGCCTGGGTGTCCAGCCTGGGGACATCCAGGGACCCTGCTGATCAAACTGGGGGGAGAGGAACTGGCCTCGTCCCCATCCCTTTCCCCCTTCAAGCCCCACCCCAGGAGTCCAGGGACAGAAGATGGCCGTCTCTCTCCCTGGCCCTGGCCTGGAGGAAACTGAGGGCAGTGTGTTGTCTGAGGTCTTACCAGGAGAGCGGGAGAGAAGGGATTTGAACTGAGTAGGGCCGCAGACAGGGAGGGGTGGACCACCCGAGAAGCTGAACTGAGCAGAACAGAAGCTTAGCGGATTCCAGCTTTGGGCGTGGGCACCGCTGCTGAACAGCCACCCTGTTTCGGTCTGGTGGGACCTTGGGACCCGGCGGGCTCTCAGATCCAGGGCTGGGGTACAGCCTCTCTGCTCTGTCCCTAGACTAGGCTGGCAGGAGGTGGGCCATGTGTCTCCCGGCCCAGCTTTCAGAGGCAGAAGAATGGAGCGCCTAAGGGCTGTGGAAGAGACAGAGCTGAGTTTGGATCTCAGTGTCCTGGTTCCTAGCTGTGTGCACTTGGGCACGTCATTTCACTTCTCTGAGCCTCAGTCTCCGCATCTGTTAAATGGTCACAATAATAGTACCTTACAGGGTTGTCACAAAGATGGAAGGGAATAATCTATGCCGAGTGTGTAGCATATGCCTCGCACATAGTAGGCACCCAATGCGTGACATCGTAATCATTTTCGGGTGCTATGTAGAGTTCCTGTGACATGAGGTGACTGACTGCTTTGTGGAGACAGAAAGTGGGGTCCCTCTCATTGCATCTTTGGAGTGAGTCAACCAATCCATCGACAAGCATTTACTGAGCACCTGCTGCATACCTAGCTCCGCGCTAAACATGGAGGACACATTGAAGTGCAAGATCTAGGTGACACCTGTCGAGCACGTTGTGTGTCCTCTTGCAGTCAGCCTTTCTGAGTAGCAAGGTTGATTGCACCCATCTCCCGGACTCGAAAATGCTCAGCTCCGAGGAGACGAGGAATTGATCCAATGTCCCATAGCTTGTAGGCGATGCAGGTGGTTTTGAATCTCCTTTTCCTAATTCCAAATACAGTGATTTTTCTACTGGACCGTGGCTGCCTTTCCTGACCTGGAAGAGTCTCAGAGTCAAGTCAGGGAGATGCAACTAATCCAGAGAACAATGCACCCTGACCAGGAAATGGGGTCAAATCAGACTCTGAGATATAAAGGTCATTGAACCTGAAAATTGTTCTTCCGAGCTAGTGAGCAAAGAAATGCAATTTCAGACAATGACATCAGTCTTTTGATTATCAATTTGGCAAAAAATAATTTTTGAGATAATCATCCTCAGTGCTGGCATCTTTGTGGGAAAGGCGTTCTCTGTAATGCTGGACGAAGGTCGGTTTCTGGAAGGTAATTAGGCAATGTGGACTAGAAGCCTTTGAGAAGTTCATTCCTTTTTACTTGGTGATTCCGCTTCTAGAAATTTTCCCCAAGAATAGAATAATAATTTTGTAGACAAAGATTTACATACAGGGGTGTCCAATGTGGTATTATTAAGATGCACATAAAATTGGAAGCAACCTAAATGGATGACAGTGGTGGAGCCTTTAAAAAGGATGGTGGGACCCCCGAGGGACTATTTTGTATAATTAAAAGTCACATTGTTACAAGACAATAAAATGTCTGAGAAACAAAGCTGCATGTACTCTGTGTTTTGTAACTTTAAATATGTTAACTGAAAAGTTAAGTACATAATTTGAGCCTCATTTTCTAAGAAAATGTGATCATATATGCAAAGGAACGTCTCAAAAGAGGAACATTAAAATGTTAGCATCCATGAATTTATGTATCTGCCAGGCATTTATTGAGTATCTGCTATACACCATGGACTCTTCTAGGCGCTGGGAAAACATAAGTGAAAAAGACAAGGCCTGTCGCTTGTGTAACTTATATTCTGCGGCCTGTTGAAAGGAACTTTAACTGTGTGTGTGTGTGTTCATTTGTAATTTTAAATTTTTGCTGTCACCACGTTATTACTTGAATAATTTAAACAGAAATAAAAAAATAGGAGGGGTGGGGGAGAGAAAAGCCGGGCGCTGAGCTGGTTGGTCCAGACCCCAACCAGGGGCTTCAGAACAGCGGCCAAGCAGAGCAGGTCAGGAGTCCAGGAGCCTCACAGGGACCCACGCAGGTGCCCATGCAGGTGAAGTGGGGAAGGGCAACGCACGGCCGCGCTGGAGGGGCGTGACCGCGGCGCCCGCTGTCCCCCAGGTGGTCTACTTCTCCGCCACGTATCCCTACATCATGCTGATCATCCTCTTCTTCCGCGGAGTGACGCTGCCCGGGGCCAAGGAGGGCATCCTCTTCTACATCACGCCCAACTTCCGCAAGCTGTCCGACTCAGAGGTGAGCGGCCCTCGCGGCCCGGGCCTGGAGGGCGCCCGCTGGGAGGCGCACACCTGAGCCTTGAGCCATTAACCAGCTTTGGGATAAATCCCTGTGCCCCTCTGACCCTCACGCGTAGACTAGGAGTGTGTCCAGGTAGAGCTGGTTAGCACATGGAAAAGGAACTTGGGCGCTGTGGCTGTGACTGTAATTTTGACTAATTTTTGATCATTCTGCTTATAGGTGTGGCTGGATGCGGCTACCCAGATCTTCTTCTCCTACGGGCTGGGCCTGGGATCGCTGATCGCTCTCGGGAGCTACAACTCTTTCCACAACAACGTCTACAGGTGCGAGAGCACAGGGAGCCGCCTCCTCCCGCGGCCCCGCCCCTCCGCGGCCCCGCCCCCTGGCCTTTCTCCACCGTCAACTCCTCTCCTCTCTAGGCCGATCCCTTCTGGCCACTCCTTCCTGTTCCGCCCCTTCCTTGGTGGTGGGAGCACACCTGCTCTGTAGCTCCGCTCCCAGGCACCCTCCTCTACCTTGCCCCTCGCTACCCACTGCCCGCTAGCTCCCCTTCCTGCCGGCCCGCTCTCCCTGACTCCCCCCCTCCTCTGCAGGGACTCCATCATTGTCTGCTGCATCAATTCGTGCACCAGCATGTTCGCAGGATTTGTCATCTTCTCCATCGTGGGCTTCATGGCCCATGTCACCAAGAGGTCTATTGCTGATGTGGCGGCCTCAGGTCAGCACCGCACAGTGGAGGGCCAGGGTTCCTGGGAAGGGAGGGGCTCACCGCATCGCGTTTGCGCTGTCGTGCTATCGTCACCACCTTGGCGCCCTGGCATGGAGCGTCACTAGGTGCCAGGCAGCGCTCTGAGCGTTTATGCGGAGGGTATCGCTGAATTTTCCCAACCCTATGGGGTCGATGCTCTTGTTAGCCCCGTTTCATAGCTGAAGAAACTGAGGTCACCTGCTCAAGTTCACAAGCTAGAAAGGTGGTGGAACTTTGGAGTCGGGCCCAGGCCTGGTTGATTGCAAAGCCTGGCCATTCTGACTCTTGCAGCACAGTCCTGGACATCTGGGGGAGAAGACCCACTCTTGCCCTCTGAGATATAAACTTTGGTCCCACTCAGACGTGCTCACCACCGTGACACAAGGCCCCCAAATCAGTGCCTTTGTCCCAGTTCCAAAAGTGTTCTCACCAAGTGGGCTGTGCCCACTCTGCTCGCCACCCAGGCATCGATGCCACAGGGTGCAAGGCAAAGCCCCCTTCCCTGCTCAGCCAGGAAAATGGCAAGCTGAGGGACCCACTGTGTGCACGGCGGAGCCCTGAGACTCGGGGGCAGCGTGACTTGTCCCTTTGCCGTCATGGAGAATTGGGCTGCTCCTGCAGAAAGGACCCTTCTCCACTGAGGTCCTCCTCTCCCCTACACAGGCAGCCTGCCATCTTGTTTCTCTGGAACTCCCTAGCCACACCCCTGCTTTCCAGAGCCAGACCCCTGGGAGGTTACAATCTCTTTCCTTCTCCTTCCAGGGTTTTCCCTGATCTCCTGAACACCCGCGCCCCCAGACACTCAAACACAGCGTGTCCCAAACTGACCTCCTGCAGCCATCTCTCCTCTGTGCTCCCCACTGCAGCACACGGTTCCACTGTCCAGTCCCCAGGCCAGAGCCCCAGCATCGCTCTGGACCCTACCCTCACCTTCACCTGCAAACCACCCATACCAGGACCTGCCCATCCCACCTCCCGAGAGCCTCTCCATCTGGCCACCTCTCTGCACCTGCAGTGTCCCCACCGCTGGCTAGGCCCCTGCAGCCCCTCATCTCATCTCACTGGTCCCCTTGCCTCTGGACCCAACCCTATAGCCCCCACCACACATGCACTGTTTCCTCAACTAGAAAAAGGGGCTGACAACATTCACCCAAAGGTTACTCCAAAGACGAAATAAAGCTTAGAAAGTGGGTGGTGTGCTGGGTATGCTGGAGGTGCTCAGAGCCTGTTCTTTCTTTCGTTCTTTTGCCCTTCCCTCCGCAGGCCCCGGGCTGGCCTTCCTGGCATACCCAGAGGCGGTGACCCAGCTGCCCATCTCTCCTCTCTGGGCCATCCTCTTCTTCTCCATGCTGCTGATGCTGGGCATCGACAGCCAGGTGAGGATGCCCTCTCTGGCACCTTGAGGCACCCCCACCCAGCCGCGTAGGTCCAGGAGCAAGCAGGGAGAGGAGCCCATTGCCTTAGGTCCCAAGAAGATGGCCAAGAGTTCAGACTTCTAGAACGTTCCACCACATGAGATTTCAGGGATCAGCTTAGCCACTTTCTCCATTTTCCAATGGGGAAACTGATGCCCCGAGGGAAGGGCCTCCTGAGGTCACAAAGGGAGCAGAGGCAGAATCAGGCCTGGGTCCCAGGGCTCTCCTGACCCTGTTTGTCCCGATGCTACGGGGCCTCTTTGGTCTTCCCCAGAGGGTCAGGCTTTGGGTGGGCTGGGGCTAGGGGCTGCCGCACCTGGCTGACCTGCGTTCCCCCTGCAGTTCTGCACCGTGGAAGGCTTCATCACAGCCCTGGTGGACGAGTACCCCAGACTCCTCCGCAACCGCAGGGAGCTCTTCATTGCTGCCGTCTGCATCGTCTCCTACCTGATCGGCCTCTCCAACATCACCCAGGTGAGCTCGGTCAGCACCGGCACGCCCCTGGTGCCGCCTGCCCCAGGGCCGGTCCCAGGTCCTCTTTGCCCCAACCTTGTGCTATCCCACTGTTTGTCTGTTCCTTGAGCACCATCTCTGTGCCAAACCCTGCACACCTGTACAGCAGTGAGCCACATGGGGTCCCTGCCCTCAAGGGGCTCCCAGGCTGGTGGGAGACACAGACACTGAGCTACAAATGATAAGACACAGCTAGAGAATACAGCCCCTGCCCCAGCCTGGGGCACCCCGGGCTGCTTCCTGGAGGAGGGGGTGCAGGCCCTGAGGTCTGAAAGACGTAAACCTCAGGCTGGAGTTGGGCCTTTGAAGTTGACAGTGCCCCTTCCCGTCCTTCCAGCTCCTCCTTTTCTGTCCATGTTAATGAGCAACGCTCTCTTCCTTCAAGGCCCTCCCAGGCGAGTCAGAAGACAGACACAGAACTGATAAATTGTACTGTAAATGTAGGTGACCCCAAAGCCGTGAGCTCAGCCTGTGGATCTGGTGTCCCATCCACAAAACTCCGCCCCGATCCAAATACAGTTCAGACCCAGAATTATTGCCCATTCTTCCCTTCACTCCTTCATGGTTGCTGAACACCGACTGTGGGTCTCGCGTGATGCTGGAGACTAAGCAGCTAACATGACAGACATGGTATCTGCTCTCCTGGAGCTTACGTTCTGGTGGGCAGACCAACATACAAATTAGATCATTTCAGAGAGTGTAAAGTGCCAGGAGGAAAAGAGGATAGTAGGACGGAGAAAGCCACCGGGACTGGGAGGGGTGCTACCCCGGACAGGGTAGTCAGGGGCGGTCCCTCTGAAGTAGTGACAGTTGAGCTGAGACTCAAGTGATGAGGAAGAGCCAGCCAGGGGGAGCTCTAGCTAGAGGAAGAAAGCACAGCCGGTGCAAAGGCCCTGAGGTGGGAATGGGCTTGGCCAGATGGAGGGACAGAGACAAGGCCAGTGTGGTGGGGCAGAGGGAGTGAGAGGGTAGGTAGGGAGTGCAGAAGCAGATCAGGCAGGACCTTGGAGGCTGAGACATTTGAATTTTATTTTATTTTATTTTCTAGCTCTCTACTTATTTGTGTGTTACATTATTGTCTTATTTAAGCTGTGGAAGCTTTTAACGGAGGAGAGACATGACTGATTTGGCATTGTGGAAAGATGGCTCGGGCAACCAACTCCTCTTTCTGCCCCTAGCCTTACCAGAAATGGGGCCTTTCCCTCTGCCACCTGGCCATTGTCTTCCCCGTCCCCAGCGAGTCAAAGACCACATCCTCTCACAGTCACTCGACCCTCAGTGCTTCCTCTAATCTACCCGCAAGCCTTCTTGCTGCATGTGGCCTAACACCAAGCCCGCCAGACTCCAGAGGCCTTGTGGAGCGGGGATCGAGTGCACTGGGCACTGAGGGGAGTGGGCCCGCTCCCTCTTTTCCTCTTGCAGGGGGGCATTTATGTCTTCAAACTCTTCGATTACTACTCGGCCAGTGGCATGAGCCTGCTGTTTCTCGTGTTCTTTGAGTGTGTCTCCATCTCCTGGTTTTATGGTGAGCATCGGCCCCTCCTGCTCCCTCCCTCCCTCCCTCCTTCCTTCCCTCAGGTGTCATACAATACACCTTGAACAGCGGGCTGTTTCCCTACAATAATGTGTTCAGTGCTCACAGCTGAGGAAATGAGCGCAGGACGTCCCGTGTTCAGAATACACCATAAGAAGGAAAGTTAAGTAAATTCATTTAAAAGGGGAGCCAAAATTGTATTCATAAATTTTGGGATCAAAAAGGTTTGTTTGAGATTTTATCTAGAAAAGGGAAACCAAAATTACCAAAAACATTCTAAAGCTAAATATTTAACAAAAGCTGGGCTGTAATTAAAAGTGTGCACTACCTTAGAACAATGAACAAAGGAAACAGTGATTTTATTTGTTTCTTTGGTGGCCAAGTTGCCAGACCCCACTGCAGGGTAGTCGAAAGGATGGCCTCCCCTGTACTTGGATGGTCACAGCCAGACTATGTGTCTGAAATGCCCCCCAGGGTCCCTCAGTCCTTGGTGTTCGTCGTACCTTCTTTGCCACCTCACCCTCCTTGTCATTTCCCCTCCTCCCTCTCTAACTGCCCAGCACCGTCAGGTCCTCACTGGGCGGTGACTTTGCATATAAGCCGAGTGGTGCAAGCCAAGCGGTGCCCAGCGTCATTCTCTTGAACTTGGTGACGTCGGCGGTCTTCCTGCAAGATCTGCCATTCATCTTTGCTCTCTGTTGCCAGTTGCTTATGGCATAGCCCCCATCCAGCAAGGCTCTGAAGGAATGGCTGGGACAGGGGTAGAGTGGGAGGCACATGCGGCGTGGTGGGACATGTTTTGTAAGTATGTGCTTTGGTTGGTAGATCTTTTCATGGGCCGGGATGCCGTGGGGATTTGGTTGTTGAATACTTAGACAATGAGGACGCGCTGGAGCACCAGCCCAGGTTACAGATGAGGACACTGAGGGTCAGAGAAGTTAGGTGACTTGCCCATGCTCGCACCGTGAGAAAGCGGCAGATCAGGGCTTTGAGCCTGTAGTCCCCACAGCTCTTCCCTCCCTCCTGCCCATCTCTCCCTCCACTCCAATGTCACAGGCGTCAACCGATTCTATGACAACATCCAAGAAATGGTCGGCTCCAGGCCCTGCATCTGGTGGAAACTCTGCTGGTCCTTCTTCACCCCAATCATTGTGGCGGTAAGAACAAGGTTCCACCAGCCCTGACATGATGAGGCCCCACACCAGGCCCTGGGGAGACAGGTCCAGAGAGAAACTTCTGGAGGCAAAGGCGGGTGCAAGAGGCCCCGGACCCTGTTCCCTAATAATACTACTGCCTCCCATCCGTTGAGCAGCTACTCTGTGCCCTGCATGGTACAGGACACACTAGCATCCTCACAAATCTCTGCAAAACAGGCCTTAGTGCCCAACTTTCCTGCTGAGGGCCCCGGGGGCTCACCAGCCAGCATCACCAGCTATTTGGTGCTGCCCTCAAACCAGGCGGGCCTGATTCCGAAGCCCAAGCTATTGTCAGCGAGGCCTTTCAGTCCCAGCCTCCTTCGCTCCCTCTGGCCACCGGAAGCTGAGGCGTGAGCAGGCCTGGGAAGGGGCTGTCCCTTGGGGTGGGGGCTGGGCCACTGCATGTATTGTGTCCTGCACAAGGGCACCTAGCTGATGGTGGACTGGGGCTGACATCCAACTTTTGTTCTGCTTGCCAAGCTGATTAACCTGGAGGAAGGGATGCCTTTTTCTATTGGTCCTTCTAGAGAGGGGTCTTTTTTCTATTGGTCCTTCTAGAGAGGGCGCCTTTTTCTGTTGGTCCACCTAGAGAGGGCACCTTTTTCTATTGGTCCTTCTGGAGAGGGTGCTTTTTTCTATTGGTCCTTCCAGAGAGGGGTCCTTCTTCATACTGGTTCTCCCAGAAGGGGTGCCCGCTTCTATTGATCTGCCTAGACAGGGCGCCTTTTTCTATTGGTCCTCCTAAAGAGGGTGCCTTTTTCTATTGGTCCGCCTAGAGAGGGCGCCTTTTTCTATTGGTCCTCCTAAAGAGGGCGCCTTTTTCTATTGGTCCTCCTAGAGAGGGCGCCTTTTTCTATTGGTCCTTCTAGAGAGGACGCCTTTTTCTGTTGGTCCACCTAGAGAGGGCGCCTTTTTCTATTGGTCCTTCTGGAGAGGGTGCCTTTTTCTATTGGTCCTTCCAGAGAGGGGTCCTTCTTCATACTGGTTCTCCCAGAAGGGGTGCCCGCTTCTATTGATCTGCCTAGACAGGGCACCTTTTTCTCTTGGTCCGCCTAGAGAGGGCGCCTTTTTCTATTTGTCCACCTAGAGAGGGCGCCTTTTTCTATTGGTCCTCCTAGACAGGGCGCCTTTTTCTCTTGGTCTGCCTAGACAGGGTGCCTTTTTCTCTTGGTCTCCCTAGAGAGGACGCCTTTTTCTATTGGTCCTTCCAGAGAGAGGTCCTTCTTCATACTGGTTCTCCTAGAAGGGGTGCCCTTTTCTGTTTGTTCTTAGAAGGAGCCTTTTGCTATTGGTCCTCCCAGAAGAGGTACCTTTTTCTATTAGGCACAAAGGCGCCTCCTGTACCAGCGGTGGCCTTGGCTGCAGGCTTGCCAAGATGCTGGGCCCTTGTGAGGGTCAGCCTTGGGGCCGGGGCGGAGGGCAGTGGACTGATCAGCTTCAGGGTCTAGCAGGACATGGTAGTCCACTCTGGGTGACTGACTGCCCCCTCTCCCTCCTCTCCCCCCTCCCCAGGGCGTGTTCATTTTCAGTGCTGTGCAGATGACGCCCCTCACCATGGGAAGCTACGTGTTCCCCAAGTGGGGCCAGGGCGTGGGCTGGCTCATGGCCCTGTCTTCCATGGTCCTCATCCCCGGCTACATGGCCTACATGTTCCTCACCTTAAAGGGGTCCCTGAAGCAGGTAAGGCTCTACTCCACCCTTCAGAATGCTGATCCCTTTTCCCCACTGTGCTGGGCACAGGCCCTACCCTTGTGGAGCCACAGTCTAATTGGGGAGATGGACAAGTCAATAACCAATGATGAGAGAGTGTTAGAAGCACCATGATTGGGGTAAACCATGGTGATGGGTTACCCTGCTGGGTCAAGGAGGGTTAGGGAAGGCTTCTTGAAAGAAAGGATTGCTGAGCAGTGGCCTAAAGATGAGTCAGAGTTAAAAGTAGAAGCAGAAAGAATGTTCCTAGAAGGGGACAGGAGGCATGTGCAAAGGCCCAGGGGTATAAATGGCATTTGGTGAACTGAAGAGAGATCAGTGTGGCCGGAGGGTTTAATTGGGGGGTGCAAAGGGGGTGCTAAGAGGTGAGGTTGGGGAGGTAAAGAGCTTGGGCCAAATCATGAAGGGCTTTGAAAATCAGCACAAGCACTTTGGACTTTATCCTGAGGGCACTGGGGAGCCATGAAGGGTTTGAAGCAGATGAAGGGTGGGATCAGATGTACTGAGGGCTTTCTCCAGACTTCATTTGTAGGCTTGATAAAGAGAGAACGTGGTCTTACCCTCAAGGAAAGACACAGCCTGTAGGGCATGCTGCCCCCAGCAGGGACCCACCAGCACGTTCCAGGTCCACGCCAGCTCTGTGTTAAATTATATTGAGTTCTCAAGTGAAACGGGCAGCTGGAGGGACCCAAGAGCTAGAGACGTGGATGGAGTAAGTGTAGGCTGAGATTTCGCTGAGGAGGGGCGGGGAGTCGCAAGATGGGGGCCACAGCTGGGAGGCCCTGGAGCCCACCAAGATGTGCCTTCCAGACCCCTCAGAGCCAGAGGCGGGAGCTCTGTGGTCTGCAGCATAAGGACAACAGGGAGGGGGTTTGTGTGCAGCCCCTGGGCCCGCCACCTCCTTTCACAGATGGAGAAACTGAGGCCAAGGGAAGCTCTTAGCCATCTCTTGCAGTGAGTTATTAGCAGAGCCAGGGCTCACAGCCCTTTCTTCCAACTCCAGGTCCAGTGCTTTTGTTTTCCATGATCCTCTGCTCAACCTCAAAAGGCAGACAGGTCTTAGAGTGGCAGATAGGCAAAGGGGTGCATTTGAGGAAGGGAGCACAGCCTGTGCAAAGGCCCAGCGGTGGAAAAGGTGGGCCAGGCATGTCTGAAGGTGGTGCACTGTCTGAAGGGGCAGGGTTTCAGGGGGTGTGTGCAGAGAAGGTAGTGGGGATCATCCCTTTGGCAAATATGTATTGAACACCTACTATGTGCCAGACAGTACTGTCAGTGCTGGAGGCACAGCCATGAACAATATAGGCAAAAGTCCCACCCTCGTGGGGCTTACATTCTAGTAGAGGAAGATCAACAATTAAAATAAAAGCATATTAGGTGAGGATGAGTACTATGGGGAAAAATAAAGTAGGAGGAGGTTTAGAGAGTGCGGAGCAAGGCCCTGCTGAGAAGAAAGTACTGGGCAAGTCCTAAGGACATAGAGATGGAGCTGTGTAACTATCTGAAAGGAAAGATGTCCCAGACACAGGGTATAGCAAGTACAAAGGCCGTGAGGTAGGCACATGCTTGGCGTGTGTGAGGGTCAGTGGGGAGGCCAGTGCGGCTGGAGTGGAGTAAGTGAGAGGGGCGAGGGGAGGACATCAAGGTCTGAGGTGACAGGGGCCAGACGGTGTGGGGCCTTGTAGGACTTTGGTGAAATGGGAGCCGCTGTTGGTCCTGAGAAGTAGAGGGAAGTGATGTGACTTTGGTTTTAACATAACCCCTCCAGCTGCTGTGTTGAGAATAGAGGAAGGGATGATGGGCAAGAATGAAAGTGGAGGGCAGTGGGGGTTATTGCAATAACCCAAGGAGAGGAGAGCTGGCGTGGCCCAGGCAGGAGCGTTGCAGGGTATGGAGATGTGGGGACGAGGCCGGCGTCTGGTGCCATCTGAAGGCAGAGCAGACAGGATGGACGTGCAGAGAGGGTGGGGGAATGGGGCGGCCTTTCTCATCCCAACCCCAACTCTCCCTGGTGCCCGCAGCGCATCCAGGTCATGATCCAGCCCAGCGAAGACATTGTTCGTCCAGAGAATGGGCCGGAGCAGCCCCAGGCCAGTGGCTCAGCCAGCAAAGAGGCCTACATCTAGGTGTGGGCACTCACCAACCGCCACTGTCACCCCCTGCCCCGGCTGACCACGACCACCACTTGACGTCTGAAGATACCATCTATCTCAACCTACCTCGAGTGGCGAGTCCAGACTCCATCACCACGCAGAGAGGGAGGTGGGGGACAGTCACACCCTCCGTGGGCCCCGCCGTGGGCAGATACCCGATGGCTCTGACCCCCGGGCTGGGGACCTTTATAATCCGGGCCCCTTAGCACCAAGCAGGCGGTGTTCGTGACCGCCCAGGTAGATCCTTCTTATCCCGCCAGCGAGTGTGACGGGGAGCAGCCGCCCCCTCCTGGCTTTTAGTCGTATTCCTGACTGTTCTCTTACTGCCCAAACCCACGACTGTTATCTTGGACTTTGCGGGAGCTGGCTTTGGTCGGAATGCCGCTCTGTCCGCGTGAAAGGGCGTTGTGTGACAGGGATATCCAGGGAGAGCTCACTCTCCTGGAGCAGGGGCCCGGAGCTCGGTCAGGTTTCGGTTTTCTCCTTCCCGAGGCAGCTTGACAAAACCACCCCCAAGGATGGTCAGTCAGAATTCCCAGGGCAGCTTTCTCCAGCAATCTCCTTTCTCCCTGCCTCGCAGCTGAAGAGCATCTCTGGAGCTCAGCGGCCAGGCCCGCTCCTCGCTGGGCCATTCTGGTTGCACCTGCCGCCACGGCGAGCATTCCAGACTGGCCTGCTCTTCGGAAAACGGCCACGAGCACAATCGATTTTTTTTTTATTGCCATTCGGGGGGCCTGAGTGGGCTCCGGGGACACTCCCTGCTCAGGGCCCCGTCTCTCTTAGGCAGCCCGGCTTTACAGAGCAGAACAGAGGAAATCCAGGTGCACTTGTGTCCTTGAGTCAATGGCATCAGTTATCTTCAGGCCCCCTCTTCAGCTGTCCCCCTCACTGCCACCCCACAAAGCTGCTGCCCTCGCACCTTCTTTGAAACTCCTGAAACTAACGTCCCCCTAGCCCCCTAACTGAGGAGCTCCAGTTAATCCAGAGATGCCCCCCCTCCGCCCCCCATGTGCTTCCGAGATTCAAACTGCTTTGAGGGAGAGTGGTAGATGTCCCTGTCCGGAACTGGGCTCCGTGGTGGCTGGTGGCACATCCAGTGAAGACAGATCTTCCGGGCTCCAGGGCTCCGCGTTTCTCGTTGGCCGGGGAGATGGGTCCCATGTAGCCATCATCTGTTGTGCCCCGTAGCTCCTTAGCTCGTTAGCTCACAAACTGTGTTTTACGACTAACCCTTAAGAACTATGGTAAATAACTGTGACTGTGGGTTTTTTAATCTCTTGTCATTCTCATCCGAAAGTGACCAGCATACCAGCTCTTGCAATAAGTATCACCCTCAGAATATTAAGCACATTATCGTAGAGAAAACAAAAAGTACGCGTCCCCGTGTAAATGCACACTCATGTTCCTTCCTTCTCGCGTGTGGTATCTAGGGTCCCGTTCGATATCGTGTAGGAAACCCGGAGGCTGCTCCTGAGCTCATCTGTGAAATAGTCTCCTTGCTCGGGCATCCCGAATGCTGGCCAGGCACACGGGACCAAGATGCGCCCGTGTTGTCTCATGGCAGCGTTTAGCTGGGAGGGACCCTTCACTGCCTCGTGGTCCCCCGCATCCTGTGTGAATTCCTCTAGAATAAGGGCAGAAGCCTTCTGACTTTCTCTTTGTTCTTCAGTGTGAAACTAAGACCAAGTCTTTCTGAGACAAATGCAGTGTATTTTGTGTTTGTAAACAAATCGAAGTGAGATGTTGGGCAAGAAATCCCATAACTGATTTCCATGCAAACCTACTTATATAGCACAAGATTACATATCGTACAATACTGTGAGAACTGTGAATATGTGTCACTTTTTTAGTATGTGCCCTGGGGGGGGGAAGATATTGTATTATCATATATGCTTTTTTTTTGCAATAAGGATTTATTCTCAGATCACCAAGTAAATCTATCTCTATATTAAAAAATATATATGTAATATATACATATTCAAACTATATACAGAGCCTGTTTAAAAAAAACTACAGTATTATTTAGTAAAATTATCTGTTCTATGGACCAAATGTAAAATATTTATAAATGAAAATGCATTTTAAATGTCTATAAATGGTGTCATAACTAGAGCACGGGCATTATGTACGTTTCTAAGAATTTAGAGGAAAAATAATAAAGGTTCTATGATATACAATGTCAGGGTTTCAGTTCTTTGCGGCGGGGGGGGGGGGGCAGCGCACAGTAGCCTCTTTCATCAGAAAAACAACACATACACACAAACCTTTTTTCGCTAACACAGAGAGAGACAGACAGACAGACAGATGTGGGCTGAAAATCCGGCAAGATGCAGCTGGACTCCCCAAAAGTCTCAGAATGAGTGGATAGAAAATGATTCCAGGCCACGTAAGAGAGGTGTTTTCACTGTTCTAAGAAACTTTAATGTGGTCAACTAAAGAAAGGTCTAAGACTAGGATAATAGAAGCATATTTAGTTAACAAGATTCATTTCTTTCACTCATGATTCATTCCTCAAAATATTAAATCTTTAAATCTTATTGAAGAAAAATGTAAATTCTCCAGAGAAACTGTAAGGATGGTTCAGCGGACACTCTGACTCACCAGTGGTTGACATCTTGACTCTCTCTTCCTCCATCAAGCTTCAGTCTGGGAAGCAGAACCGCTGTGAGGACTACGAGTATTTTGGGACGAGGGATTTGTTACGGGAAGAAGCCCTTAGGCAGCCGTGGGAGAAGTCAGGCAGTGAGAGTCTGAGCGAGGGAGCTGGGGAGCAGAGGTCAGGCGCCAAGCAGGGGCGCGGACAAGGTCCATGCACCGTGCACGTGGCGCAGGTCCCCGCACACCGCAGTCCCCAGGCCGCGCACGCGGAGGCCCAGTGCACCCGAGGGGGGGCAGAGGGCCGGGAGCCGGCACGGGGGAGCCCGGCGGGTCCAAGCGCGAGCGGGCAGGGCTGAGGGAGCCCCAGAGGCCGCCTCCGCTGAGCCGGACCTGGCTTCCCCCGCAGAGGGAGGCCGCCGTGTTCTAAGAAGCGCCCAGGCCGAGGAGCCCAAGCTCGACCTCTCTGACTCCAGTTCCCGCCCTGCGGGAGCCAACCGCGTGGCCGGAAAAGGATCGCGGAGGACAGGGAAAGACACGGCCACCGTGCTGCCTTCTCCTCACTGTCAGCAAGCGCACGGCGGTGAGCGCGATTAAAAGAGGCCGTGACCCTGGAGAGAGGGGCCGTGGAAGGGAGGGAAGGCCTCGTGTTTTAGCACCTTCGCCCGCACTTTGCTCCTGCTGTGTGAACCAGGGGCTGTGCGTTTCCCTTTTGCGTCGGGACCTGCAGATCCAGCAGCCGGGCCCGGGAAGGTCCCGGGAAGCCGCTGCCTCTGCGTCGCCGCCACGTCTGGATGGCTGGTGGACGACCTGCAGCCGCTGCTCCGGGGGCGCGGCCGGGACAGCCGGCCGGCAGACCCCTCGCCCACCGCTGCGAGCACGCGGCTCTCCCCCGCCTCCGACCCTGAAGACCCGCACGGAGCAGGGGCTCCCTCGCGTCTGCCTCCCAGGTCTGGGGCTGCTGTTGCCTTCGGCCCCCTCTCCCCCGAACCATACTGAGAAGGGGATTCTGGGAAATGTGGTTTTAGCTTCACCAAGGGGACAGGAGGATGCAACCCCCCGCGCTCTCTCTCCCTCACACACACGCGCGCACACACACACTAATGATACGATGATGATGACTTCACTAAACCGTTTGAGAGTAAGTTACTGACATTTGGACCCAGCTTCTCTCAAACCATGGGCACGCCTCCTCTAAGAGCAAGGACGTCCCCTGACATAACCACAAGACATTTATCACATTCAGGAAATCTGACGCTGTTGCTATACCATCCTCTACAGTCCATATCCAATTTCTCCAGTAATGCGCTTTATAGTGTCAACGAAAATAATCCATAACCAATCTATAAATGAAAATTTGGGAGAGTTTATTCTGAGCTGAAATGTGATGACCATGGCCCGGGGCCTTTCTTCCCGAAGGAAGAAAGGGCACCAAGGAAGTGAGGTATACAGAGTGGTTATATACCCCCAAACAGGATGTTTCACAAAGGATTGAAATGTCCCTCCCACAATAGTCACAAGATTGCCCTGTCGGCACAGCGCTTGATGGACACAGCAGGTAGCGGCTCCGCTATCTCAGAGGGCGTAGCAGGAGGCAAGTCTATTGTCTCAAGCTGGGTGGTCACAGGTGAGCGCAGCAATCAGTTCCTAGCCTAAGGAAAGATGTTTAATCCTTAAGGAGATGCCAACGTTGGGAGGGGAAGGGAAGTTGCGCCTTTATCTCAAGGGCCTTTGTTCTTGCCATAGGGAATGTCTAAAGCAGATATGCAATGCATGCTCAACGGCCTCGGTCAGGCCCTTTTGGAGGTCAGGCCCTTTTGGAAAGACAGGGTCAGGCCGAATTAGGTTTACACCAAATGGCTTCCTCATATTCTCCAATATATCCTATTGCTTGCCATTTTTATTTGTCAATAGCAATTTCTGTCTGATCCAGGATCACACGTTGCATTTTGACGCCAATTGAGGACGCCAGCCCCGGGGGCCCCAGCTGCCCCTCATCACCTCTTTCCCGGCTCCTGCTCCTTCCCTCTCTCCTCTCCTTCCCGGCCCTTCTGCCCTAGACCATAAGTACAGGCAGAAGAAAGCAGGTCTGAAATGTGAGCCTCACCGCCACAGATGCCCACAGCGCTTTCCTCTGTGGCCCACCGCTCGGAACCCTACGCCAAGGTGCTTCTCCAGACCCCTCCCCACTTTCTCCTCAGCTGCTCGAAGGGAAGATGGGAACAGGAGAGAGGGCTCAGGATTGGGAAGACTCTCCAAGGTCATCTGGTTCTGTTTCAAGTTTGAACTGTTTTTCGGGACTCACTTCTCCACCAGCAGTGTGCGCACAAATCGCCCGGAGGTCTTATCAAAACGCAGATTTTGATTTAATAGGGCTGGGTTTGGCCTGAGTTTCTGCATTTCTAATAAGCTCTCAGGTGTGGCCGCTGGACCTTCACCCACATGTTGCATAGCAAGGATTCAAAAGCCACTCTGCCTCCTCTTAAATACTCACACAAAGTTTACCGCCTCCTTAGGAAACTGACAGAAACTCTAATTCAAATTGTCTTAAGCATAAAAGAGAGTTTGTTGGCTCATAAAAATTTCCAGAGACATCAGCTTCAGGCACAGCTGGATCCAGGTGCTCAAAGGAGCACCTCTCTCTCCACCTCTCAGCCCTGCTTTCCTCTGCCCAAGCTTCACCCTCAGATGGTCTCTCCTCTTAATGAAGGGTAAGGCAGGCATCCAGCAGCTTCAGGCTTACAACCTACCAGACTGGCAACCACATCATAAAGTGAGTTCTTGGCCCCCAAACTTCTGTTACAGTCCTGGGACTAGGTCTCATTGGGCCAGCCTCGATCACATGCTCATCTCCTAACCGATCAGGTGACTAGGAAGATGGATGGGCTGACTGGCCGGGCCTGGGTCACCTGACCACCTCTTGAGTTGGGGATGGATTGGTTGCATCCAAGCACATGAACTGAGAATCTGGGGAAATGTGGATCCCCAAAGAAGGGGGTGGGTGCTGGGCAGGCCAACGCAACAAGGGCCCACCAGAGAACGGACTCTCTTCAAATAACCTTTCGAAAGACCTGCCTTGACCTGAGTCTCCCAGGGGGCGCACCCGCCTGCTCCCGTTTCGGGGGCAAGTCCTTTTGCTGAGGACCAACCAGGAGGGCAGAGGGAGAGGACCCGGGCGTCCAAGATGGGTGGAGACAGTCCAGGGCGGGGCTAGGGTTGGGGAGGCCCGGAGTTGGGAGTCAGGAACCCTGCCTGCACTGGTCCAGACTGCCATCATCGCTCAGCTGCGCCACAGCGACAGACTCCCAGCTGGCCTCCCTGCCTTGAGTCTGGCCCCCACGATCCATTCTGCAACAGTAGTCTGAGCACTCTCTTGAAAACATAACTCAGGTCATGTCATTTCCCTGCTTAACATTCTCCAGTAGCTTCTCCTACCACATTTAGAAAAAATTCCATCTCCCTACTCTGACCTGTAAGGTTCTCCGTGATCTGACTGCCATCTAACTTTCTGACCTCAGTGCATACCACTCACTCCTCATCCACAGTACTTGGCTGTCTCTGTCCCTTGAGTCCTCCAATTTGTTGCTGCCACAGGACCTTTGCACTCATTGTTTCCTGTGCTTGGAACACTGCTCAGGAGGCTGTGGGGTCAGCAAGAAGGCACTGATTCAGCCTGGAAGGACAGGGATGACTTGCTGGGGAGGGAGCCACCCAAGTTGCAAACCAGAGATGAAGGATGAGGAAGATGATGAGAGGGACAGAGGGGGAGAGAAAGCAAGACCCGGTCCCGGGGCCTTGGAACACAGAGCGTGGGCAGAAATCTCTTGCAGTTCCCTGGGGAGGCCAGCCTGCGCTCTGCCTCAGGTCTGCGCTTCCTCCAGGTCTCCTCAGGGCTGGTTCCTTCCCCTCATTCAGGCCTCTGCTCCAATGCCACCTCCTCCCGGAGGCCTTCCCTGACCACCCTAGCTAAAATAACACCCTCCCCCGTCTCTGTGTGCCTGGGTTGGCTTTATTTTTCTTATTCTCAGCACTCGTGTTTATTAACCTCCCTCCACTATAAAGGAAGCCCCGGGAAGACAGGGACTTTTTCTAGTTCACTGCCGCGTCCTAAATGCCCAGAACGGTGCTGACACACAGTGGGAGCTCAATAAGTGCATGACTGACTGACTGACTGACTGAACATGAGCAGACAGGGGATGACAGGGTAGCAGCTGTCGAGGGCTCTGGCTTTGGGGTCAGACAGCCCTCGGTGTGAGTTCTGGCTCTGCTGCTCACTCTCCATGCAACTCTGGAGACTGTTACTAAAATCTCTCTGTGCCTCAGTTTCCTCACAATATTGTGGTTAACGTGAAGTCAGTTAAAACGAGGAGAGCGCCGAGCACAGGGCTCTCCCGAAATGAGCACGCAAAAGCAGCCGGGGCTCCCACAGCCATGGGCCCGAGGTGTCCCCATAGGAGGACCTCTGTAATCAGGTCTGTCCCCACCCCGGGCCCCGTGTTTTGAAGGATTTTGTTACCAAACTGTCACTTAGTAACTAAGCCTCACTTTCTATGTCTAGGTGTAGGTGGAGCAGATGTGGCTG